TTACATAATATCTTGGTTTATACCCCAGATGTGGTTGGTGCGCTTTTGGAGGTTGGCGGAATCACCGAAGACTTTTACGGTGTGAAGCTTCCTTTCAAGATCAAAGATAGATAGTACGTATCTCTATCCTTTGCAAATAAAACTACTTCCTAATTTGCTGATCATGTTTATCTTTCCCTCTACTTTAGCAACGAAGTTTTGGAATGTGAAGCCCACAATCAACAAGCTTTGGACTTCCAAAGTTACTTCCGCAATTATACTCGTCGTAATGTTGTGGTAGTACTCGTTTCCTGGAGGGTAACCGGGAGAAATAACCCGAAGCTTGTCAGTCAAGGCCCTGTATCAAAGTTGTTTGCTGATCCGGACATCCCGGAAGTCCAAGAGATAAAAACGGTGGTTTATTAGTCTGAAGGCGTGCATTTTGCTTTGTTTTTTATCGTATTCTAAAAACAACTACAATTTCTATTTCTATAATCTCTTGTTGCTATAACAACAAACAAATATTGTTGTTTTCTAGTTTGTTATTCTCCCCAAACTTAAAAATATATGGCCTAATTTATTTTTAATTTTTGTTCCATTAACATAAAATTCTTGACAAGTTTCCGTTCATAATGACTAATTCCTGCATTGTACGTACACATTATAACATTTTCGGAGTTTCCATTTCCTGGATGTGTACGATAATATTAGTGTTCTCTACTATGTACGTATACATATTACGTACAACTACAAAACGTTTATTTATTCATATATGTTTAATTCATAAAAGTAGATTTCATTCATTCATAACAAGATTCCTTCAAAAGGAAAATACAAAGCATAGAAATAAACAGACACCTAAGGTTAACTTCATTCATTCACAGCGAGACTCCTGGAAAGGGAATTACAAAGCATAGAAATAAACAGACTATTACGGTAGAGATTCATAAGAAATAAAGTCAAGGTGACAGCGGCAGCATAGTCATAAGTGGAAAAATTGCATGCTTCTTCCTTCATAACCATTGCACCTCTAGTAGAAAATGCATAGTTCTCGAGCGTACCAATAGAAAAAACAATTGCGGCAGCAATGTCCGTATGTGCAGCGTCCGACACATGGCGGACTGATGACAAACCTCCACGATCTGTGCCATAGCGGAGGGCCTTGAAGATGAAGTTGACTGATGTGATACATCACCAACTCTCCCACGGCGGTTGCAGCCTGGAAATTTTGTATCATTTCCCAGAACATTGCATTTACCGGGATGAACTCAGTGTAGCTGCCCGTCGTTGTTAAGAACAAGGCATGTGCGAAGCACGCATATGGGTCGGCTGGAGAGACCGAACTGAGCATCGTTATACCATGAGTGACGGTGAGGAAGTTGGTACAAAGCCTTACTCCTTCAAGGTATTGCGCACACAAAGATCCCCTCTCCAAGTTGAAATACGGTCGGAAAGGAGAGTAGGGCTGAATGAAATGCGGCCAAGTCATAAACTCGTCCATACAGATGGAGTTGATGTCAACGGCATTCACCAGGTTCCTAAGGGTGTCGACTGGAGTCTGAGATACAAGAAGGTAGTTTACAAGTATACTGATAGGGTTTGGGAGCAGGACCGCAATATACATCTCGGTCGGAGGAGGAGTTGGGAGAGGCATTTGTTTTTGAGAATATTATATCGGTTTTGAGTTTGAAAGATTTGTGTGTAAAGAGACTTGAGGGCTTCATTATTTATAGGGTTATAACCAAGTATGTGATGGCAACAAGTTGAACTACTTCAATGTGATGTCACATCACCTCTGGTTAACGATACATCTTTCGAAATTAGGACGAAAATATAGGTACGTATTTAGTGCTTTATTGAATGAGTCTATCTCCTTCTAACAGTGTACATTTATAGCTTCTCCGTGTACGTCTATATTTGGAACTAGTTGTTAGAAACATTTAGAAATATTAAATATGTTCATTATATAAGTCAGACAAAATGTATTTAATAACTATCCCGAAAGGGGTCAAATCAATATAGGTAGATCATTAATTGATAAATTTGCTACAAATAATCTACCTTCTAAGTGTGTACATTTAAAGCTAAACCATGTACGTATTGAAAATGACATTTTGTGTCTTTTATCTGACGAAATCTTTAATCAAAGATACATTCCATATGTAGTATACAATGAAATTAATACCCTTTTCAACTATTTTAGATATTTGTGAAAGAGTGTAAAATCATTCACATTTATAACAACAAGTACTATATTTATGAAACTTTAAGCACACTACAATATAAATAATAACATGTAACATCAAAGATAAACTTAGAGGAGTTGGCTAATTCTTCTAGCACACCACCATAAATAGCAAACGTTACACACATTTTTAAAGGGACCAGATCTGATGTAACACATCATCGCGCAAGGTGGAGTGTTAAATCCACGAAACTCAGGGTAAGAAAATGTTGCACCATAAGTATTGTTGTATGTAAGGCCATAGTTTTTAATCTCATCTAGCAACTCCTCACACATGTCTCGAGTTTCTTCTGACTGCAACGAGTAATGGTTTCTCTCAAACATTAGAAGATACTCAGCGCCCATGTACGCATTACCGTCACATATGGAGAGGATCGCACACGCAAGTGTTGCATTAGCGTGATTAGGCACATTGCGATGTAATAGAACTATAGCTCCCTTTATGTCAGATTCATGTGTTAGAAGACGTAGTCCTTCATGATAGATAGCTATTGGATTTCCAGCATCTACACATCTTTTGAAGAAAGGTCTAAAGCGACCTTCGGTGTGGATGTCATTTGGATCATGACCAGCTGCATGGAAGTCATCGGGATCACTGCACAAACTGTAAATATTTGCATCTTGGAGTACGTCGGGCCGGTATACAATGTCCCTTCCACGAGGGCCTGATCTTAAGAGAGGCTGTAGTACCACCAAAATTTGTGAGCCATTATCTTCGCAATCATGCTATGCCGGTCCGGCTAGTTGCACTCATAACCTTTGGGCGTTTTTTATTTTTTTTTTTTTTTTTCCGTATAATGGTGT